TACCATTCCTACTATATTCAAAAACTTTGCTATCAGTGCAGATCTAATTAAAAAATAACAGGATGTGCACAGAACTTTTCATTCAGGAATACTATGTGCTATTTTAGTAAAGCAAGTTATTAACTTTTGTATCTGTGACTAATCAATGATCATTTGATTTGTTACTGGGTTTCACCTGATGACCAAAAATGAAGATCATAATTTAAAGAGAAATACAATGAAGTGAAACCCTCTACAAGCATTATTTTAAATAATAGAAACTGCAGGTGAATGACTTTTCCAGAACAGCTATCACAATGTACTTCAAGGTAAGTGGTCATACACAAAGGTTACAAGGCACCCTCCCCTAGAAAAGGAACTCATAATATCCATAGAGTTCATGATGGTAATAACCGGAAACACTTTAGGAAAAAAGATGTCTCATTTTTTTAGTTTATTTCTAAACATAAGACCAAAAGAGAATTCTGAAATCCAAGCTCTCCTGTCTTTGTTTTCGCACTGGACATTTTGTACCTGTAAAGTGATTTGCTTTTCCAAGAACCTGGACCTACCAGGTTACCAGTTTATGCGTGTATGGATAAAAAATTACCTGTTCAAATTAGGATTTTTCACAAGACAGAATTCAATTAAGATTTTAAGAGTGTTTCTGAACTGTATAAGGATGGTTAGTTAAGTTGAAATGTTTGCAATGTCAAAAAACTTTCTGAATCTCCTTGAAATGTCATTGAGAAGTATTCTTGTTTTTCAGGGTTTGGCTTGCCCAGGTCATGACATCTAACTTTGGAAGCTCTTCCCTAAAATAGTTTCTAAACTGGGGCCTGGCCTGAAAATCAACAAAAATTTAAGCCATGGAGAAAGGAATTATAATACTGCTTAAATAACTTCAAACTCCTTGAGATGTAAATGCATCTAAATCTCAACAAAGGCCCCTGAAACATGACATTGATATGAATGTATAGATATACCTAAGTGATGTATTTAGTGCAAGCACAAGCTGTTGGTGTAGCAGTCGTTTCATCTTTCTTTTGTTCCTGATGTAGTTGACTGAGATTTAGTCATGGGATACAGAAAAGGCGGGAGTTGAAACATCCTGCAACTCATCTGGTTAGATATATTCCTAAATATATTTTGATTGGATGACCTAATTGAGGATTGAACTAAAGTCCCCTGGTTTCTGTCTCAGTACTATCATAGGTGACTTAGTGGGTCACCAACATGGTCTGAATTGTCTGTTCCCTCAGCAGACACAATTTTTCTCTGTCTAATTCCTCCAGCCTCCAGCTATTTACATAGGATCCTATAGATTTTTTGTGTGTAAACTCCAAAACTATCCCTCAGCTATCATTCTGTTTGTAAGGTTCACTGATCTTAAAACTATTCAATGTGAAGGCTATTCTGGAGAACATTATGTGTGGAATTTTCTATACATACAAATGCATGCAACACACAGACATACGAGTGTGTGGAAAAGCATATTTGCGTGTTTTTCCAGCCATACGGAAAACCATTTTGCATTTCAGAGAACTGGTTATGGCTAACTGAACTCTAAGCATGAATTTCAAATTACAGATTGTGAAGGTTAAAATAATAATAATAATAATAATAATAATAATAATAATAATAATAAAACCTAGTAAGGAATTATCTTTCCAAGCTGAAACATCCAGAGGTTAGGTCTTCCTATTACTAGGATACAATTGTAAGGCTTCGTAACAACAGATTCAAGACAGAATGAGCTTGATGATTACACATTAGTTATTATTATTATTTCCTATTATTTTTTTATACATTATATTGTATTGTAGTAATAATGGAAGATAATGTGCCTTAGTAATGGAGCAACCCTGAATCTCATTACAAATTAAATATATAGAATGAGAATGTGAGAGATAAAATTGGTTTTCTGCCTGCCAGTATAAATGGAATGGTGTATGACAGGGATGGTGTAATGGGATGCTCTCAGCCCAGTAGTCTGTGTATGAACATGCCCACACTACCCACCGAGAAAAATAAAGTTTAACCTCATTCACACGCACACGCTCACACCAAAAAAGGAAATGCAGTACTGAGGAAGCAGAGTTGACTAGAATTAAAATTTTCACTTGGAAAAGATGGTAAATCTCTGGGCTAGATTTTTACATTTGGGATGCTGGCATAAATCCAATGATAGGTTCTAATTAAAATGAGTTTGATGGTCTCAGATTAGTTCTTAATTGATGGCAGTTCACACTGCAAAACACACAAGAATTCATTACAGTCCTGCTCATCTGGCATTTTCTGCTCAGAGGGAGCAAGACAAGGTAACTAATGTAGATTCCAGCAACTGTCTTGAATTTTAGGCAGGGTGGTCCCTTCTGGACTGTTGAAAAGGGGTCATCAATAGAGCACTTGGGATCAAAAATCACAGAACTTTTCTAGAATTAACTCAAATGTTGTTGTGGTTTGAGCCTACTCAGCAGCTAAACGCCACACAGCCACTCACCCACCGTCCCCCCACTTGGGAATGGGGAGGGAATCGGAGGGGCAAAGGGAGACTCGCGGGTTGAGATAAAAACAGTTTAATCACAGTAACAGAACAATACACTGACAGCAGTATCAGCGGGTAACGTACCATAGAGCTGCTCACCACCCACCGACTGACACCTGCCTGCTCCCGGCCAGTGATCCCGAACACCAAGGCCCCACAGCCACATTCGCAGAAGTGAGAGCCCCTCCTGGCCCACTCCTGCCTTTATATAGTGAGCACAATGTCACATGACATGGACTATCGGCCAATCGGGGCCCAGCCCTCCAGCTGTGCTCCCCCCGCCCCCGCACACAGGTGAGGGCACTGGGACCTGGGGAGCCCCTGGGGTTTCAGGGTGCTGCAGCTCCTCCCGCTGCCAGACCAACGGGAACTCTAGGCCAGCCTCAACCAGGGCAAATGTAGAATAATAAATGTATTTGCTATCAATTTATTTTAAGACTCAAAGCATGGATATGGAAATTATGACATGTTCCAAGGAGAAATCTGCACAGTATTTCTTTGTCTTAAATTGTATATCCTGTTCTCAAAATACAACTCACTTCAGACAGAATTTCCTGCTTATACTCTTCTAAAAAAATGTTGCTCAAAATCACAAGAAATATTTTTTTTTCTTCAAAAAATGCCATTTACTGCTTTGTGTCAAGATGGCCACAGTTTTTGTATAGATAATAAATAACAAAATATTAATATCATACTAAATATGCTCCTGAGAAAAAGCAATTGCAAGTTCTAGTGCCAGCCAGCAGAAAGATCTTGTAATTAGCAATGTATAGTTAAATGCACAATTTGCCTCTTGGTGAAAACCAAACAAATTTGGGCTTCTTTTCCTGACCTAATCAGCTCCTTTTCCAAGCTTCTTGATGTAAAGTTTCCTAGAAGCTCAAATCATCTGCTATTTATTGAAATGTTGGGACATTTGTTCAAAGTGACATGCTCCTTCAAAGAATTTTTATCCCTGCTAATTATGTATATACTCTCGCACTACTAATGATTTTAGATAGAACAAAAGGGTACTGCTACCTACACACTCAGCATTTTGCCTTGTCTTATTTTCACCAGACCCTCAGATTGCCTTTGCTTTTCTTTTGACGGAGTTTTATCTAATCTTCCTGGAGAAGCAATGAGAATGGCCTTATTGGCCTCAATGGCCTCAAATTAGCAGACTAGAAATCCAAGGTTTAAGTTTAGTTTCCAATTTAAATGCAGGTTACATACAGGTCTCAGCTGCTGTACCTCAGGGTTTTTTTTATTTTGTTTTTGGTTTTTTATATATTATTTTTCTTACAGAAATAATGAGACTTGTCTAGAAAGGAATACATATTCCAGAGAGGGGCACAGGGAAGCAACCCAGCAAATACAACATAATAAACTGAATGTGAGTAATTCTGGCAACATAGACATAAGAGGCCAAGGATGAAGAGAAGAACTTGAGAATAACACAAAGTTTGCTACCCTCACAATAATGGCAATAATGGCAGTGCACAATAATGACAAATTACAGCCAGTAACTTTGAACTAATTATAAATCTGTAACATGACATTTTACCTCAATGCTACAGTGATGTGACTTCATGTCACATTCTTGAAGACCTATAAGACACTGGGATGGGTTTTCTGAAGCATCTGCATGCCTCGCTCCTCTTGATTTCCAACCAATTGCTAGAACTTACTCGCTGAAATACTTACAGCAATTCAGGGCATTCATTCAGGCACTTTATTTGCCCAAAAGAAAAGCAGCTGTTACTTTTGCCAGGTGCACTTTTTCTGCTTGGTGAGTGGTGTTACCTGCAGGATATATAATTTTTCAAAAAACAGCACTCACTTCCTAGTCACTTGTGGACACTATTCAAGCTGTTGACAAGGTCTCTATATAGTTCCAATCATCAGTCTCGGCAGAAGGTACACATATATGAATCAGATCCATATTTGCAAATTTCATGTATTTTGAAAGATAAATTGTGTCCATACAGTATGTGTCATTTTAAACTGTCTTGGCATTTTCAAAACATTATTTTCTCTAACATTTGTGTAAACAAAAGTAATATCTCAGTGCACTTCAGTCACAAACCATCTATCTAGAATGTCATCTAGAGGGAAAAAATAATGAAACAAAAAATGAAGCAACATTTCTTGTTGCATTATCCCACTGCCCTGGAGCAAAGCAGGGTCTATCTCGTACCATCTTCTGACCTCCAACCGCTCAATTTTATTACAACAGTAGCTTTCCCACTTATATTTCTTTTTAGCTGTTCATATTTTTTCAAAACACTCATCCTTTACTCGCTAATCACTGTTGAGAGCTTTTGCCTCAGCTTTTACCCACATATCACTCCTCAATCCAATTTATTCCACAAACTACAAGTATTTCTATGCCTGGAATGTAATTTTTGTTTGCCACACAAGTTTAGCTTCATCTCTGAGGCTGTTCAGAGACCTATACTAAACAAATTAATATTTTCCGCTATTTTTTCAGATGATGTCTGAGTACTGTCTGCAGTCTATTAACAGGGAGAAAACCTATCAGGGCTCACACTATTCCACATACATGAAGCTGTCAATTTCCTGTTTCCCATCCTGTGTTTTATATCTGCTGTGAAAGCCTTGTAATAATATTGACTACTTCACTAACTTCATAACACAACAGGATTTTTGCTTCTGCAGATGAAGAGGAAAGGCACATGGTAAGATTAAATGGCTTTGATAGAGTCACACAATAAAATGAAAGTCTAGCTGGATTGGCAGACAGAAATTCTGGGTTCCAGCTCAGTGTTTTACTTGAAGACAATCACTCCTGAATGTAAATTTTTAAAGAATTGAAGCATTTAACTCATTTTTAATAATTAAAAACTTAAATTTAGTTTGAAATTGTTCTGAAATGCAGTTAAAAAAAATGCAGATGAGCCTTTTCATTTTCATTTGAGTCCAGTGAAATTCTTTACTCAAAATTCTAAATTAAACATGATTTTTTTCTCTTTTCAATTGTTTCCATTTTGAACAATGTAGAAATTAAGCTTTGTTTTTTGCATGTTGAGCAAAAGCATCCAGTCAAACAACACCTCTCAATATAAAAAATATCTAATACTGAAATCTGAGCCATAGTCCAATCTTCAGTAGCCACACAGAAAGCATGAGCTGTATAAATTTTTATGTACACATCTAAACACTGCACATAGTCTCTAAATTTCTCATGCAAAGCTATGACTTTTTATTCCATGTTCAAAATTAAAACAATCCCTCATCTGCAACCATCAGTTGAATAAAAGCATTAATCTAAGAGGTCTGGATATCAAAGCTTAAAAGCCCTTCCTGGCTTTAGTCCCAGTGCTATACTAATATGTCTGCAAGGAGGTGGGGAAAGCTAAGGGGTTTTGGTTTGAGTGTGTTTTTTTTTTTTTTCCTTTAGGGGATAGGAAGACCATTTGTAGCATATGTCCTACATCTGGCAGTAGCGTACTGATAAACATGTGTAGCAGCAGGAACCCAATTATCCCTGTTGCCCTTTTTAGAATTACTATGAGTTGTGTTCTTCTAGGCAGCGGAAATAACACATGAAGGCCAAAGGCGCTGTTCTGAAGTTTCCACAGTTCCTGGCACAAATCCACAAATTACATGCAATAGCACTCTCCCGAAGAATCTTTTGCTACTTAAAGTATGGTGGGGCCTGTGTCCCATTTCAGCTATACACCTTACAAATGCTGCATGCAATGGTCAGTGCAGATTAAAAACAGTAACATGCAAAGAAAGTAATTACGAGTATTTCAAATCAAACTTTTAATAAACTTCAAAACCCCTATTTATTCTGAAAAAGGATCTCTCTCATTTTTTTCTCATTTTATCTTCTTTTTATTTTTAGATACTAGATCCTCCCTTCCCTGCAATCCCTGGTCTTGGGCTGTTTCTGGACCACCGAGATAAAATTGCTGTGAGTTGCAGACAAGCCACATCAGCACGCTCACAAATTCATAGCAGGGGATAGGAAGCACTGAGGTCTCTCTTATTCTCATGTCCATATTTGTAGGACAGTATAGACGATAGGCTGTAAGTATCAGAGAAAGTCTGCTTCTGTGCTAGATATTTTGAAAAAATGACATCTAAAATACAGATAAATACAAAATTACAATATTTTTATTAAATTGTATTCTGGAATGAATTGCACTTCTGCACATTTTCTTCTAAACAATTTTTGAAGTCTACTCCCATTTAAAACAATTAATTTATTGAGATTAATTTCTAGATATATTGTCAGACTCATATATATTCATATTAGTAAACATAATTCAAAATAATAAAACTCCATATTTCAGACATTACAGTTACCGTATAATTTAATTGACAACTGGATTTTCACTTTAACAAGTATTATTTTTATCTGTGTCATTTCCCTCTGTTTTGGTTTGAACCATGATGAGCCAGCACTGTGTTGCTATATAGAAAGGAAACATTCCCCCCAGTGAATTTCTCATTATGAAAATAATCTAGCTGTTTTCATAAAGTATATGTCTGTATTTACTATTTACCTTCCTGCTCAGATGTCTGAATCATGTGAACAGCATAAAAGCTTTCCTCATAGATAAACTGGTGTAAATCTGAAGTAAAGACATTGACTTCCCTATCAGCATTTCCACAGATCTTCTTCAGTGTAAAAAGAAAACAAGGAGGTGACCTGTTATAACAGCTTTTTACTGTCTGCTTCTATGTGACCTGTAGAAAAATTGGGGACGCTGAGAATTGTTTTGAGCTTTTTGAAAAAAAAATATATTAATTGCCTTCATCCTTCTTTGCTCTGATCATTTTCTCCTATCTCCACCCCACTTTGGAAGTCCATTTACGTCTTGGAGCAAGAGAAGTGATTCTCCAAGTAAAGCCAGACAAGAATGATCCAGGATGTTTAGGAATATGCTTTGAAAAGATAAAGCATCTCAGTACTTGCCCTGGTTAGCCTAGAGGAATGATTCTTAAATGATATATACGTATATATTTTACTATCACTGCTCAGAAAGTCCCAACTGCAACCACAATGGAAAATCATTATTCCTGGACATAGGAAGACTTGCACATACTGGTTTTCATACCAGAGTTTCATATCTGAGTAATTTTCAGGTTTGAAATGAGATGAAAACAGTTTTAGTTCAGTAAATCAGCATTATTGAATTAACATAGAAATAACCACAATTCCATGGGCAGTTAGTAGTAGGCTTTATATTATTCTTCATGAAGGAAGATAAGTATTATTACATTTACTTTAAAGGCAGTAAACCCAAGTGTAGGTCCCTAAATAACCCATCCAGTGATGCTGCCAAGAGCTGCTGCTGGAGTTGGGATCAGGACGTGGAACCGCTCTCTCCCAGCCCCATTGCTCACTGCCTGCGGTGCAGCTGCAGGCTTACAGCATTAGATTTAAGACCCTTAAAACATATGGATGGTGGAAAGGTTCATCCACCAGAGATTAAACTGACCATTGGTCTCCAGGGGAACATGACAAAACCTATATGTCAGTGAAAATGTAACAGGCTGCATTTTCTCCTGTACCTCCCAACCTGTATGGTCCCATGCCTGGCAAAACCTGCCACTAGGCACCCTCTCCACTTACCTGGCGGGATGTGGCAAAAATCCCACCGTTCATAATGATGTTAACTCCTGTCTGCCAGCTGGGACGTAGTCTGAATCTAAGGATTTTTCTTCCAAGAAATCTTAATGAATGGTTCTGTCCTGCTGCCACTGTCCATGATGGTGGCAGTACCTCCAGGAAGGCCATCTAGATGGCTGCTCCTCCTTGAAATATCACCACAGTTCTTATCTTCTTTTTGACTCCTCTTTGTTCCTTTATGCAGCAGTTTAACTGGGTGCAAAGAACTTGCCAAAGGAGACAGAAATTTCTTAGTTCCTTTAAATGCACTGTACTTACATTTTCTATATGTTCACAGAAGTTTAGGCTACCATCACAAAGCATGAAGGCACTAGTGAAATACAACAACTATACTGGATGGGTGCCATTAGGGAAAGAAATAGTATTTAAATGAAATTAGACAGAGATCTCAGATACACAGAACAAATATTTAATTTGGAATTTCACCAAGACACCAGGGCTAACACCTTTAACTTGGCAGATGCAAGATTTTTTAAACAACCACAAATTTTATGAGGACCTCAGATTTCAGCTCCCCTTTAAAGGATTTGTTCCCTAGTGGAAAAATATGGTGAGAGGCTGATTCTTTATTATCTCAGGTGGGATTTTGGCTTTTGTTTTTTATTTCATTAACTTAACAGAATCACAACCTCATGCATAGAAGTTGGTGGTAAACAAAATTTGTTCCTGAAGGTTTTACTGGGAATTCATTGCAAGAACCAATTAAGCTGAGCACGTCCTATCTATGAAGTGAATTCAAAAAGAAATGACACAAATCTCAAAGAGGTTTATTAATTTTTGTAGGAAAATTAAAAATAATCTTCTGCTTTTTAAAACTCTCCTCCAGAACTTTTAAAAAAAAAAATAACAAAAAACTTTAAAGGTAAGAGAGCGAATAATTAATTTGAATACAGTAAGCATCCTGTATAAAAACTTCTCTTACTACTTAAAATTTATTTATATTAAATATTTTTGTAGACAGATGCTGTCTCTTCTAATATTTTAGTGCTAATACTGCAATTAGAAGTCAGAATAAATCCAATTAAGTGATAAAAATTCTCTCAGATACAGAGATCCTTAGCACTGTGACCCCTTATCAATTTAAGCACAGTGGGTTTTAGAGAGATAATTTGCAAATATTGTCTAACCAACTTCAGTGCTGCTGCAAAGAAGACTAAGAGAGACACATTGCTTTGAAACCAGTAGTGCAACCTCTGTCAAAGAAACCTTTGCAGGCACTAATACAAAAACTTTATATATGTTCAGTATCTCATTTGTATAGTAAAATGAGGAAAGAAGTAAAACGTACACAATTAATTTTATAGTGTATCATCTGCAAGTGGTTTTAGGAGGAAATTCACACTTTTCTCATTAAACTGGCTGGGAATATATCTTCCAGTTAATGTTGTTTTTTTTTTTTTTTTGAGTATTGTGAGAAGTTGAACATTGGAAAAAATGAGCTTGAACAGTTTCAACAGTGGCAAGATTTTCAACAGGCCACATGTGCACATCTGAACATCTACACTAGACAAATAACTAATAAATCAGCATTCTCCTCTATTTATGGCACTGATTAAAATTTGGAGCCAAGTTTTCCCCAGCAACGTGAGATAAAGCCATTTTTCTAGGGGGTGCGTCTAGATGGTGATTTATAAAGAGCATGATGCCATTTGGAAAACTCAACAGCATCCCAGCTAATGCAACTGTTCTAGTATAGAATGATAACTACAAGCACAAGTTCTAGTTCAATTTAACATGTAATTTTCCTATATGATTATGCAACTGAGAATACATAGGAAGTAATGATTTGAATCTCATTTGCATATATTCCTAATTCCCGCAGCAGCAATAGTTATGTACCACGATGTCAGACCAGCATAACAGATTGAGATCCTGACCGAGCACATCCAGACTGGCCCAGTGCCAGGATCAGGAGGACAAGGAGGAGAAGTTGCTCATGACTGCACCAGATTTGCACAGTACTGAAAAGAGGCCAGAGATTTGCTTTTCTTACTTCTACTTTCTCTATTCTTGTCTC